TGGTCCTCCTATATTTAATTATGAAGCTAAGTTTTGATGCCATGAATATGGTATAATAACTAGTCAAATTTTAATTTTGATCACATATTACATGGTGTTCACGATTTTTATTAACTTTTTAATCACATGTTTTATCATTTTTTTTAACAGATTTGTCAGACAACCCCTTTACATCCTAAAGGACAGAAATAACCAATAATTACCAATTGCTACAAAAGTGATTGTTTGGGAAGGACTCTTAGCAAATTTATAAGTTGGGATTTATTTTACTACATCTCAAACAGATTAGGGACCTCAAATGCAATTTTCTCTCTCCATCTCTCTCTCTCTCTCTCTCTCTCTCTCTCTCTCTTCCCCTTGATGGTAAATTATGACAAATCCAGTATAATTGTTTTCTAATATTTGATTTTATTTGAATAATATGCAGCTTCCTAATATATTGGGTCTGATATTTGGGGTACTCCAAATGATATTGTATGCGATATACAAGAGAGATGCACAAGATCACAAACTACCAACCCATGTCAACCCTAACATAATAGCTTCTTCTGATCAGATACATCCAGTTTCCACTCTACCCTTACCAATTCCTCTGGAGAACAAAGATGAAAATGCTGATGATGGTATAGTCGAACTTAGGATGGTATAGTCGAACCCTAAGTTCGACTCAAGTACTGGACAGTGTAATAAATAAGATTTTAATTAACTGTTTTTTCTCGTTATTAATTGAGGTTATGCATGTTCAACTCAAGTACTGGACAGTATAAACTTAACTGACTGTTCTTCTTGACTCCATATGAAAGAGAGAAGTGCAAATACTTATCAAGTGCATGCATAATCATATATGTGAATTACTTTTCAAGATTTGCTTGTAAATGAGGCCCTTTTGCCGTTTATAAATGTTGTTTAAGTTCTTGTATATTAATTTGTTTTACTTCATTATTTTGACACATAATTAACTCATGTTTATAAACAAAAATTAAAATAAATGGTTGCATAATAGTCAGATGACTTCTTAATAGACATGCACAAATTAAGAATTAAGATCAATGCGTAAAAATATATAAATACATTAAATTTAAAATTATGGAATTATTTTTTACATGGACGACATATTAATATTAAAAAATAGATAACAGAATGTTAAGAACAATTATTATCTTAATGATTTTTTAACAAAACTAAATTGTTCGGCGAGCTCTTCAACAAAACTGCAAACCTCTACTTCTTTTCACGACCAATTGTCTAATGACACAACAAGGCTAGACCCAACTCACGTGTCATATAAGCATATATAGAGAAGTCTAACATGAATCATATAGTGAGCAAGATCAAGAAAATTGCTCTCGTTAGTAGTATGCGACCTACGTGAGTCGATAAGGCTTTTCCATAAGAAAATAGAGAACTCAACGTATAATTACTAACTACGTTGTGCAAGCAAAAAAAAAAAATATATATATATAACTTCTCTTAAAAAGGGGGAAGTAGTTCCTACTGTAGAAGGAATAGTAAACCAATCTTAAGTTGCTATACAAGAGAAAAAATGGTGTCATTTTTTTTGTTTAACTTTTTCATTCTTCATTTTCATACGTTATGGCCATGCATTTTCTAATTTCTGGAGATGCAATATCTACAATAGTATTGAATCCCATTCTTGAATCCCATCCCGATTTTAACAGTTTCAAAATTATTTCAATTTCAACGCGCAACAATCGTTTTCATTTCTCTTTCTCCTACCTACAATCTTCTGTTTCTCCATTTTTCACACAAAAATCAGAAACTACAAGCAACCCTTTTTTCACACAAAAATCAGAGCCTACACAACAACTAGTATTCTTGCGCCTTTGCTTGTGGTTATTGGAGCGACAATGGCCAAAGAAGCAGTCGAACACTGGAGACGCAAAGCAGGATTTCATTTTTATTACTTTTCTGAGGTGCTCTTCCTGCAGTTTTGCTTTTTCTTTTTTTTTCTTTTTACAAATTTCTCTTACTTTAACCGTAATCTCTCTCTCTCTCTCTCTTGATGGTAGGAAAAAATACAAACAATTTACAGGAATTGAGATATATACTGGTAAGTATACTTCTCACGCCTTCAATTTCTTACTCTTATGTATGTTTTTTTTGGTTTTTAAGTTGTGTTGTTGAATGATTGATTTTTCCCAATTTTGTTTTCGATCTTTTAAGAGATCCAACCCAAATCAAAGCAAAAATGTGTTTCCCTATATATGTTTGAGCTTAAGATTTTGTGTAATTTGGTTATAAATTGGGTTTTAGATTGAGCTTGGTTTCATTACATATTATAATCAAAATGTGCTTCAAAAGGGTGATATTTTGCTATTCTGAAATCTTCATTTTCCTCTTTTTGTTTATGGTTGTTCCATTTCCTTCAACCTATATTTTTTGTGTTTGATCTTTTTCTCTCTATCTTTGTTCCAAGTTTAACGAAATCTCCTCAGAAAAGTGGAAATTTTGCCCAGAAATTAGTGATTGGCTCTCAGCTTGTAACTCTAATTTTCGCTGACGATGGCCCTCTTTGTGGGCCTCGCTTGTCATTGGCTAATGGGGTTTGGATAGATCAGAGTCTCAGCTTGAAGCCTAGTTTTAAAGAAATTGTGGATAATGTTTACAAGACAACTTCTAATCCTGTTGATTTTCAAACTAAGGTTAGTTTAATTTCTATTTTCAATTATAAAACTCATTAACCTATTTATCGTTGATCAAGGTTTGAATGTTTCCTTGTAATATTTTTTGCTTATTATTGGTGTCAAGAGGTGGTTTGTGTGCTGTCAAATTTCATTTTTTTAATCGAGACTCTATTGTGTATGTTTCTGAAATTCAATTTGATGGCTT